TGTTGCTGTTACTGTTAGTGCAGACATGAACATCAGCCTCACTGTCATTATTGACATTAATAATACAAAATAGAACTGACTACGATTAAGCCTGCTAACTGTAATCACACTCAATTAATTCAACATTGTCCATTATCACTCATATCCTAACCCTGTAAACTGAACTTCTTTTTGTTTCACCATTACATGAGCTGTTGTTGTTGTTGCTGTTGTTCCTGCTGCCTCCTGTCTCTCTCTCACCCTCGTTCCCTACTCTCTCTTCCTCCCCCTCCCTCTCCGTACTCATTCTCTCTCGCCTTTCCCCTATCTTGTTGTCTCTCTCCCTCCCCCTGTCCTCTCCCCCTCTCCCCTCTTCTCTCTACATTCCTCCCCAACCCAGCAGCGGCATGGTGGCTGTCTAGCATGAGGCTGGTCCTGCCCAAGGTTTCTGCCTGTTAAAAGGAAGTTTTTCCTTGCCACTGTAACTCATGTTAGTTGAGATGGGCCAAAACCCATCTTAGGTTGGTTCTTGATCATCAAACAATGAGCGTGGTCCAGACCTGCTCTTGTTCCTTGAAAAGCGTCTTGAGATGACGACTGTTGTGAATTGGCACTATATAAATAAAATTTGATTGATTGATGATTGATTGATAAGCATGTAAGTTCCAATTTTTGAATGGGGGCACCTATCACAGAGTTCGCTACTTGTCAGCTTCAGTCTAAATCTGCGTTCAGGAGTAAAGTAGACTCTATGGATAAATTTGAAATGAATCAGCTGATGAGCAGAAGTTTTGGACGAGGAAAAAACATTATTCCAGATCTTGGGCAAATCCAATTCAAAACCAAGCTCATGAAGGTCTGTATCCCAGACTGATGTAACAGGTATAAAATTAACGTTATATTTCAATAACCAGTCAAAAAAAGAAGTAACAGACCCAGACTTTGAGGTAGAATAGAGTCGTTTTACAATGGGATGCAGGCCTAAAGGGCAGTCCCATGGAACTCCATATGTTTTTAAAGCAGTGTGGAGTTTGAGATAGAAAAACCAGGAGGAGCCTGGTAGTGAATAAGACTCCTTGAGGTCCTGAAACGAGCGTAGACCTTGTTGGTTGAAAATGTTGATAAGAACATTTACACCCTGATGAGCCCATTTGGGGAAATTAAAAGGCATAGAATCAGTTAAAAGATTATCATTCCATATGGGGGTAAGATCATGAAACTTGAAATTACTACACTGTAGGTATTTAACTATTTGATACCAGACATTCAAAAAATTTGACATATTAGACCCCATAAGTAATTGTGTCGTTCTAATCTCTGCGCCGCAAAACGGGAGATCTTGAAGTCGAAAAGGATGACATAAAGCGTTCTCAAGAGTTCGCCATGGAACATTAGAAGAGGTGTCAAGCCATACCATCAGCAATCTTAGCTGGAAAGACCAATAATATATTTTGAAATTGGGTAGCGAAAGCCCACCTAGTGTTTTGGGATGTGTTAAAGTGGAAAATCTGATCAATGCTTGGCTTTACAAAGAAAGTTTCTACAAATTTTCTCCAAGTCCTTAAGGGCAGTGAGAGTGGGAGCATGGAGAAAAGAAAATTGATACAAGGGAGATTGTTCATTTTAGTCACTGAAATACCGCCATGGAGAGTCATGTATAAAGGAGACCATTTGTTCAGGTCACTGTTAATTTTTGCCAATACTGTGGTATAATTATCTTTTTTTTTTTTTTTTATTTCGAACATTATTTAATCAAATAATACAATAAAATACAAATCAGGAAGAAACCAACAACAACAGTGTCCGAAAAGGAGTAGGATGAAGTTTAAAACTTATCGAGCTCCTACCCCCCTTTTGCCAACACAAATTTCTTTACTGCATATACAATAGTTTAAACGACTGCAGTACTATCAGGGATAAAATTATTCAGACCAACCCATTGAAAACTGAAAACAGGGCTGTGTTGACTCAATAGGTCAACACAGACCCTCCTCATCTGAATACCTCTTGAAAATAATATTTTTATATGCCTTCTTGTAATTATTCAGGTTTGGACTTCGCTGAACCTCCATGCTCAGTCGATTCCACAAACTCACTCCACAAACTGAAATGCACATCGTTTTCAATGTTGAACCAGCAAAATGTACCTTGAAATTAAGCTCTCGTCTCAAATTGTAACCCCCCCTCTTTATCACTGAACATCTTTTGTATATTACCTGGCAAAAGCCTGTGTCTTGCTCTAAACATAATCAGTGCAGTTTTGTATTCAACAAGGTCCATGAGCTTCATAACATGTGATTGTAAAAACAGTATGTTTGTGTGATCCAGATATCCTACCTTGTTAACAATTCTAATGGCTCTTTTTTGGAAACTACATAATGGTTTTAGATTACTTTTATAAGTATTACCCCAAATTTCTAGACAGTAGTTGATATATGGCAGTACAAGTGAGCAATATAATATATGAAGTGCTTTACGGTCCAAAATGTGTTTTGTTTTTCCCAGGATTGCGATGCTCCGTGCGACTTTTGTTCTTACATAATTTATATGGGGTTTCCAGCAGATTCTGTGGTTCAGTATTACACCCAGAAATTTATTTTCATATACTCTTTCAATGTTAACATTATCTATCATCATTTGTACTGGTGTGTCTGTTTTACGGTTTCCAAATAACATGAGCTTAGTTTTATTCAAATTCAATAATAATTTGTTTGTATCAAATCAATGTTTTAATTTACTCATTTCTGTGGTGGTGACCTCCAAAAGCTGCTGGAGATTTTCCCCTGAACAAAATACATTTGTATCATCCGCAAATAAAACAAATTTCAACACATTTGACACACTACAGATGTCATTGATGTAAAGAATAAACAATATTGGGCCTAATACTGACCCCTGTGGAACACCACAAGTAATGTCAGCCAATGATGATTTATAGTCACCCATCTGTACAAACTGCTGCCTTTCATGCATGTAACTTTTCAACCAATTTAATGCAACTCCCCTTATACCGTACCTTTCGATTTTTTTTAAATAGTATTTCATGATTAATGGTGTCAAAGGCTTTTTTCAAATCTATAAATATTCCTATGACATATTTGTTGGTGTCAATACAGTTTGTAATTTCCTCTGTCAATTCCATAAGTGCCATTGCTGTTGAGCTTTTTGCTCTGAAGCCATACTGACTGTCAGTTAGAATTTTTTGACTTTCAATGAAATGATTTAGCCTCACAACGAATAATTTTTCCAGTATTTTGGAAAATTGGCAAAGCAAGGATATTGGCCTATAATTGGTGAAATGATGTTTCTCCCCAGCTTTATATATCGGAATAACTTTGGCAACTTTCATTTTCTGTGGAAATGAACCAGTTGTCAAAGATAAATTAAAGATGTATGTTAGTGGTTGTATAATGGAATCAATTACTTTCTTAATCAGGATCATGTCAATGCCATTCCAATCTGATGATGATTTATTCTTACACTTGCTGACAATGTCTTTGATTTCTTTTCCTTCTATGCCATTTAAGTACATTGAGTTGACATTACGAATAATATTCCCCTCAGCATCCCCACCATTACACGTGGCCTTTATTTCCTCAGCGAAGTTCGGTCCTACATTTACAAAGAATTTGTTAAAGCCAGTAACCACATCATTCATGTTACTTAAGGAAGTATCATTGTCAATAAAATATTCAGGGTATCTCCTATTATTTGAGCCATTTCTGATAATACCATTTAATATTTTCCATACACCTTTAATATTGTTTTTACTATTCTCTAATAATTTGGCATAATATTCTTTTTTGCATGTCCTCATAATGTTAATTTATTTTTATATTTCTTGTATTTATGTTCAGCCTCTGCAGTTCTTTGCCTTAAAAATTGTTTATAGAGGGTGTTCTTTTTTTTTTACAAGCATTACGCAAACCTTTTGTGATCCATGGGCTGCCAATATGTTTTTTCCTGACATTGTATTTTTTAATTGGACAGTTTTTGTTGTATAACGCCTTAAAGGTCTCAAGAAATATTCCATAGGCTTTGTCAATATCCCTTTCTTCATAGAGATTATTCCAGTTTTGTGCTAGTAAATCTCTTCTAAATGCATTAATTTGCTGCTCTGTTCTTTTTCTTCTATATATAACTGTATTTTCCTCTTCTCTTTTCGCATAGTTACAGCCATAGATCACAAACACTGGCAGATGGTCACTGATGTCTTTTATGAGCAACCCACTAACTAAAGCGTTGTTCATGTAATTTGTAAATATATTATCTATTATTGTGGCACTTTGCACTGTTATCCTACTTGGTTTGGTGATCAACGGATATAAACTTAAACTATACATTGTGTTAATGAACTCCTCTATCATTTTATGATTATGGGGATTCAATAGGTCTATGTTATAATCTCCACAGATGAATGTCACCTTCTGGTTAGTATTGGAAAATAACACCTCCATACTATCCTTAAAGTGTTTAATGCTTGAATCTGGTACTCTATATACACAGCTGCAAATTATATTTTTTTGTTTTTCCATACATATCTCTACTGTGATACATTCCATCAAGTCATCAATAAAGGTAGTCATGCTCTCAACAACCTTGTATTTTAGGCTGTTTTCAATATATAGGGCCACACCCCCTCCTTTTTTCCCCTTTCTATTCATATAATTAAATTCATATCCATTCAGTTCAAAATCATATCCCTTCTCAGGGCAGAGCCATGTTTCAGATAATGCAATAATATTAAATGGTTTTTTGAATTTCTTTAAGTAGTCTTTGATGCTTTCATAATTGGCATACAGACTCCTAATATTGAAGTGAACAATAGATATTCCCAGGTCTGGCTTAGTGTCCAGGTCATTATACTGATCATCGGTGAAATAGCAACATGTATTGTTCAGATGGTCAAAGAAGTTATGGTCCGGATCAATGTCCTGTTCAAGTTCCTGCATTTTTCATTTGTCAGTCAGTGCATGTTCTGAGTTTACCATCATTTAAGGGTTAGAATTACCTTAGTGGAGTCACTGGTATTTATCAAGCTCTTCCATTTCTTTGATTACCAGCACTTTAGCCTCTTCTGGTGACCCATTTAGCTTGATGCACACCTTGCAATTTGCAGTCCATGTTGACTGAATTTTCTTGTGTTTCTTCAGGAAGCGTGCTTTTTTAGCTATAGCTCCATTTTTGGGGGTTAGGTGCTCATTCACGTAGACATCTGAACCCTTAAGTTTCCTTCCTTGTCTGAGCAGTGCATTCTTATGCTTCCTATTTGTGAAGCGGATTATTAAAGCTGGTTTGTCTGCCTTGTTTCTCCGAGGGAGAGGATGGCAGGCCTCAATATTGTCGCTTTTGACTGAAATACCTTTGCTGTCAAAGAATGCAATCACTTGTTGCTCAATGGAATCTTGGTCAGGCATGGTGGTTTCACTGCTGGTCTCCGTTGAAACTGCCCGTGCATATGGCCGAGGCTTGGTCTGTAATCCGCTGACAACAACATCATTCATGCGGGAATACTGCTCCAGGTCAGACACTCTATTTTCCAAGAATGCAATCTTTTTCTCCTGCTCCATATTCTTTGTTTTCAACAGTTTGATTTCAGTCAACAGCCCTGTTATGGTTGTATTTTGCTTCATCAAGTTTGTAATATCAGAGGACATCATATTTATGGACTCCTTTAACTCCTCCATGTCCCTCTGCAGGCTTTTCATGGCCATGTTTGGTAGGTTTCATACTGTCACCGTGCTGCTGGGGGGAGCTTCTGACTCTTGGGCTTAGCCTAGTGGCTAGGTTGTCAGTGGGCCCTGGTCCTGGTCCCGGCCTGGTGGCTCAGCAGCTGTAGTCTAGCCAACAATGGAGTTCTGGTGTTCTGGCCAACAGCTTCCAAGAAAATAAAAATACTGACACAGTGATGGTGAAAATGCTTTCAGGGGCGTATATCAGCAGTCTAGAATGGAAAAACTCAAGGATTGAAGAGGTTTGAGAAGGATTGTCAGGAGGCAATCTGCTCAGCTGAGTGTGGTGGCAGCCATCTGTCTCACTTTGACAATAGAGGGTAGGCTGGGACGGATTATTATTCCCAAATAAGTAAAAGCGTTACACTCCAAAGCAACAGGTGTGGGGGTGGTGGGGGTGATTTGACTAAATGTACAATTTAGGGGCATTAAAATAGATTTTAACCAGTTAATTCTGTAGCCAGAGAATGCCCCAAAGGCCTTGAATAGACTTAATACATGAGAGATAGAAACAGACAAGTCAGACAAATACAATAAAATGCCATCAGCGTAAAGAGAAATGAGCTGTTCCTTTGATTGGTATAGGTGATATATGTTGATGTCTAAAAGCTTGTGCCAAGGGTACTAAAGAGAGCGCAAAGAGGCCAGGTGAGAGAGGGCAGCCCTGTCTGGTGGATCTATGCAATGTAAACTCAGGTGAACCAGGGTGGCCAGTTTGAACGTGTGCAGTGGGCTTGGTATATAAGGTACGTACCATATTTATAAAGATGGGACTAGATCCAAAGTGTTCTAAGACTGCCCAGAGGTAGTCCCGCTCCACGCGGTCAAAGGCTTTTTCTGCATCAAGAGAGAGGATGGCAGATGGCTGTTCGAAAGATGGTGCTGTTTCAATAATATGCAATAGTCGACGAATATTATCTGAAGCCAAGCGGCCTTTAACATAACTCGCTTGGTCTGGAAGAACCAATGACAAAATACAAGTGTCGAGTCGTCTTGATAAGACTTATGCATAAAGTTTGAGATCACAGTTTAAGACTGATATGAAGCGTTCTAATGTGTCTTTCCTTTTTTTTAAAAGAAGAGAAATAAGTGCGATTTTTTGATCCCAATGGAAGGTTTGAACCATAAGTGAAAAATTAAAAGAGTCCAAGATGACTGGACCAACCAGGTCCCATAAAGCCGCAAGAAGCTCTGGTGGAATGCCATCTAAACCTGGTGATTTTGCTTTTGGCATAGAGTTCAAAGCATCTTTTAATTCAGTTAAGGTAATAGGAGCTTCAAACTTAGAATTCTGCTTTTCTGAAAGAGCGGGTAGATTCAAGGAGTTTAAAAATGACAAAATTGCTGAATTATCTTTATGAGACTCAGATGTATACAATTTAGAGTAATAAGAGGTGAAAGTGTCAATTTGTGAAGGAAGTGTACATAATTTTCTGTTATCATTTTTGATCATATCTATAGATGCTAGTTGTTCAGATTGCTTCAGGCTACAAGCCAAAAGTTTACTTACTTACTTTCTTTTCATAAAAATCTTGACCAGTTCTAAGATGTAAGAACTCAGCTTTAGATGTTGTTAGAGATTCAAACTCTGATTTTACTGTAGATAATTCTCTCTGTCGATTCTCAGTGAAGGAGGATTTTTGTAGGGATTCAAGATGAGATATTTCATTCTCTAGAAATATAAATTTACTTTTGCATTCTCTATTTTGGTGTGGTCTTATACAACACTTAGTGGCTTCCCACAAAGAGTAGGGATCCCTGATTTTGAATTAAACTCTAAAAACTCTCCCAGGTCAATGGTGATTTTGTTCAAAGAATCGGGGCTCTGCAACAGAAAAGTGTTGAAACACCACCTTTTGGAGCGAGAGTGTCCAGATGTGGTTTCAAATTACATAATGAAGGGTGAATGATCAGAGATAAGCATTGGTAGGATAGATGTATGAGAAATGTATTTTAAAAAGGTTGGATAATTTATATATAATCTACTGTGCAGAATGACTGATGGCGAGATGAATAAAAAGTATAATCCTTTGTGGTTGGATTATGTACATGCCAGACATCCACAATATTCAGATCCTGTAAGAATGAATTAAAGTAGGAAGAAGAACCTATTTCAGAGGAGTCAGGGTTAGTTGAATCAACAGAGGGGTCCGCTAATAAATTAAAATCTCCCCCTATAATGTGTACCGGGTCCGCAAAGTCAAACAATTTTAGCTTGACACCGTCAAGGAATATAGGATTAAACACATTAGGCGCATAGACTGAGGACACACAGATCTTTGTTCCATTGAGGATTAAGGTTGCATAGCAAAACCTTCCTTCCACATCTCCACCTGAGATATCTATCTTAACATTGAGTTTTGTTTTTATGGCGATTAATACACCCTTTGATTTATTAGGAGCACAAGAATATGATATAACTTTATACAGTTTATTATTTAATCTACTTATATCTGCCTGTTTCAGAGGGGTCTCTTACAGAAAAGCCAGATCTACATGCTTGAGTTTTAAAAATTCCAGGCATTTCAGTCTCTTTACTGGTGAATTCAAATCTCTTACATTCAGAGTCATAAAATTTAAGTTAACCATAGAACGAAGATGTAGGAGGATAGTGATAGATTACAGAGATGATGTACCATATTTAGATACAGCATAGACAACAAACAGAACAAAAGGGAAATAAAAAACAATTGAATAAAACCAAAAAATAAACTAAAAGAAAGGAATAAAGAAAGATGTGTAAGGTAGGCTATGTACCCATAAATAGCAGATTACTAGCTGTGATGAACAAACAATACAAAACCGGTATGCCAGGGGACAGCACTGAAAAGCCCCTGTAAAGCACCAGTAAATAAGATCATATAAGAAATCCTTGGGCCACTGACACAGCAAAGAAGAGCACTCTACAAACTACTAAAAACAGAACTAAATTTTTTATTTATTAACACACGAAGAAGAAAAATCAGGGAAGATGTAGCCTGCAAAGTAATTACTTAAACAGACTTTTTTTACCCCCCCCCCCCCCATTCTCTCCCTTCCTTTCCCCTTCCCTATTTGAATGTTTTTTTATGCATTGCAATTATTTATCAACTGTCTTAACATAGTAATGTAGAGGAGCTTTAGGCACCCCCCCCCCCCCCCTTTTTTTTTTTAGGGGGGAACCAAAAAGTAGACTACTTTTAGATAAGTCCACATTATAACCAAAAACCCAAAAGAAAGTCATCTAAATAAAGAAAAATAAATAAATAATGTAGCGATTTCAAATTCAAAATAAATGTCGAAAATTAATCAAATTAAATTATGACATTTATGCACTCGTTGAAGGGGCACCACCCACCTTTCTGGTGGGAAAAGGACGAAACAAGGTTCAATTGAGTAATTAAACGTTGGATCAGTCTTAAACAGATTTAAATCAGTCTCTCATCTGAGGCCGGAATTCTTCATTCAGGGACTACTTTCTGAAAGACCACTAAGACGACAACTTAAAATTAAATGGACAATTTATTAACAAGCTATATGATAACAAAACGTCAATAAATGATGATCAAATAATGAGCAAATCAAAGCACATCTAATGAATAAACGAAGGAATGGTTTAAATTAAACCTAAGACTGGAGGTTAATAATAGTGAGTGAATAAAGGGGAAATTTAACCTACGTTAACGGAGTTACGAGGGTAAATTAAAAGGAATTTGGAGAACTAAACTATAACTTATGAGAGTAAGCTACTGAACGGTTGACGGCATCACCCAGTTCTCATCACAGCAGTTTCGATGATTTAGCCTACTTTGGACGTCGGTTCTCAGCGGCACCCTTGGAATGGATCAGCTGAAGTTCTGTGGCTACCGGACCGGATACTGAAGGTTCGGCGGGGAGTTCTTCCGCCGTGTCTGGATCTCAGCTTCAGGACCGTGTCAGCGCCGTTAGATACTTCGGATCTCTGGGCCTCTCGGAACCAGGTGGCAAAGCAGCTTGGCAGATGATGCTGGTCGGCGTTCAGGAGTAGCTTGGTTGCAGATTAATTCGCGCCAATAACTTAAGAAAATAATTTCGCTGGCCAGCCGATATTATCTTCAGGAGTCACTTTAGCGAACAAAAATAAAAAAGACTTAGACTGAGGTTCTCTTATGCGCGCAGCTTGTTACTGAGGCTCTAAAGGACTTGGGAATGCTTTCATCCAAGTTTAGAATAAAAATCTGAGTTTAAGGCAATTAATAAAACGCGGGGAAAATTGCGAACGATAGACGAAGACAAAAGAAAATTAGACGAAGAGAAAAACTAACAAAGAGGTAAAACGAAGAAGAAACGAAAACACAAGAGAGTGAGCAAAGACTCCCGGGCTCTTATAAACAATCCTGTGTGGGCGTGAACCAAGAGGAATGTTACAGCCAACGTTGTAACCCGATGCAGCACATCGACTGGCAGCGAATTAACTCAACTTGATATTAAAAGCGAGCTAGATCTAGTTTACTCACTCACTATGATTAAACTGTTTGTAACATCACATACGATCACATTTCACTTCATTGTTTCTTATGAGCAGATGCATTAAAGCATGACATTGAAAACAGTAAACTTTGATCAGCCGTCTTCTTGATAAAACAGAACAGAGGATTAACGACTTTTAAAAGTTAGAGAGGGACAGAAAACAAATTATCTATTCGAACAGAAACACCATCCAGCATAAGAAACACATACGTAATAATATTTGACAACACTATAACCTTGTCAATCAAGCTTCATAGATGATTAATATATATACTTGTGTGAGGTAGACAAAAGCATAGTATGGATACATTCAGAAACTCTTAACTTGAGTCTAAACGAGTTTCACGTTACTACTTCTAAACTACTAGCCTATCTTGGGAATACCATTTACTAAGCTACGAAGCGTATAAAACAAAAGGGAAGAAATACACATGATTAGATTCCTGCCATTTGGCTCTGATCAAACC